ACAGAAATGTATACACGTATACACGCACACTCACACGTGCACACACACATACACACGCACTCAGACACACATATACACGCACTCAGACACACATATACACGCACTCAGACACACACACGACTCAGACACACACACACGACTCAGACACACACACACGACTCAGACACACACCCACACACACACACACACACACACACACACACACACACACACACACACACACACACACACACACACACACACACACACACACACACACACACACACACACACATACTCATACACATACCTACACATACCTACACATATACACACTCCCCGCGATGCATATCTCAGCCACAAACTTTATAGAACAAAGGAAGACGCATGCTAATCACCCGCCTGGTAATCGCGTGGGCAAGAGGGGGGGGGGGGTGGAGGTATGGTGTAAGATACGGTGGTTGGGGGAAGGGGGGAAGGGGGAAGGGTATGGGAAGCAGGAGAGCAGAAGGGGGAATGGGAGGGGGGGGGTAGAAGGGGTTTGTTGAGTTCGTTGAGACAAGCATAGACAGCTTAAACCGGGAAAATAAGAGAGAGAAATAAATTAAGAGAGGGAAGAAATTAGAAAATAAAAACGAGAAAGCAAGAACAAGAGAGAGAGAAAGAGAGAGAGAGAGAGAGAGAGAGAGAGAGAGAGAGAGAGAGAGAGAGAGAGAGAGAGAGAGGGGGGGGGGGAGAGAGGGGGAGAGAGGGGGAGAGAGGGGGAGAGAGGGGGAGAGAGAGGGAGAGGAGAGAGGGAGAGAGAGAGGGAGAGAGAGAGGGGAGAGAGAGAGGGAGAGAGAGAGGGAGAGAGAGAGGGAGAGAGAGAGGGAGAGAGAGAGAGAGAGAGCGAAGAGAGAGAGAGAGAGGAGGAGAGAGAGAGAGAGAGAGAGAGAGAGAGAGAGAGAGAGAGAGACTCCCTTGGAGGTCCTTGAGGCAAGAGTCGTTCGTGACAGGTCGTAACAGGTCTTGGGGAGGGGGGGAGGGGAGGCCCAGGTGTGGGGGGAGGAGGGGCGTCTCGTGGTAATCGCGGTCGCCCTTTTTTCCCACGTTATCGCCCGCTGGACTTTAGGGGCGCGTTGATCGGGCGGTGGGCGTGCGCTGATCGTCGCTCGCTGGGGGGGAGGGGGTGGGGGGCGTGAAGAGGGAGAGCCTTGGTTGGGGGGGTTAGTGGGGGGGTTCTTTGGGATGAGAGAGATTTTTTCCCCCGTTAATAATCGTAGTGATATTATTACGTGTAGTGCATTCTAATATGTTGTGACTACTGTTGTCGTTATGATTTTGATGTTTAATATTGTTGTTATCATGATTATGGATAGTTGTGTGATAGCAGTTATAGTATTGATAATGATGATAATAATAAAGAGTAGAGTATTAGGAATGATGATAATAATAATAAAGAGGATAGTAATAGTGATGATGATGATAATAAAGAAGATGATAATATTAATTATAACAATTACTATAGTGAAGTAATGTCATTAATTGTTATAATATTAAGTATTGTTAGTAATGATGATGTCTGTGATAATAATAGTAATGATCACTAATAATAGCAATTATGATTGTGATGGTAATGATAAAACCCGCAATAATATCTTGAAACTCTATCGTTCCAAAAGGGGAAAATGGGTGCACGTGTCCTTAGACTTTTCCCCCTATTTTGATTCTCTCGCTTTAACGCCTCATCGCCCTGACCCGGACTGTGCAATACCCGTTTCTCAGTGTGTGCAACTTATGCAATCCACATCCGGCAGGTTTCTTGCTCTTCTCCTTCCCTTTCTCCCCATATTCTGCCCTCTGCCCCGTTTTCTTTCATTCTCTCTCTGGCTCGTCTGGGCGCTCTATTTCTTTCTCCCCTTCCTCTCTTCTGCTGTTCTTTTATAATGAAAATAATAGTATTTGATTTTGAATTAAAATCAAACTTATTCATTACTTCTTTTAACTTCCTAACCTTCACCTCCTTTATTAACTTCGTATTTCACTTACGTTCACCCTCCTTCGTCGTATATACCCATTCATGTTAAATTCAGTCGGTTATTCAAATTCCTAACATTCAATTAAATTAACCTTATACAATCATATACTTCTCCATTCAATCTCCCCACTTAACTTTCCTATCCCTACCCTACCATTCTTTAATCATGCTCTTAATCTCCCTCCAACTTAACGCTAATCACGCCTTTTTTTTTCCTTTTGGAGACTCAGGAACCGGTCTCTATTATTTTTTTTTTTTTTTTTTTTTTTTTATTTTTTATTTGGTATTTTTAAAATTTGTTAATCAGTATTAAACTATTAGTTTGGTTATTCAGTTTTTATGTTTAAAACACACATTTTGTCCATTTTATTTTTTCTATTCACTTTTCTTCTATTTGCATTTCATAATGTTAAGCTATTATTTTTTTTTTTAGCGTTTCTTTCCTTATATTGTTTTTAGTTTTTTATCATTTTCTTAATTATATTTGTTTTTTTTTTTTTTTTTTTTATCTTTATCCTTTTAGTCCCTTTACTTCTTCCATTTTACTTTTTTCACCTAATTAGTTTTCCCCCCTTTTTCTTTTTGCTACCTTTTTTTTTGTTTCCTTTATTTACCTTTCTTGTATTTCTGTTTCATTATGTAAAGTATAATCTCTTCTCTTTCATTTTCCCTTCAGTTCCTTGTCACTCTTACGCTTATCTTCATTTGTTATTGAGTTTCGTTAATTAAACATACTTTCTCACGCACCTTCATTCATGTTAACCCCGACTTTAAGTACATATAATCTGCCGTTTCATTTTTGTAAAGAAGAAAAAAAAAAAAAAAAAAAAAAAAAAAAAAAAGCACTTAGAACATGATCCTTTCATAATAAATTTGTACCCGAAGCCCTCTCGTTTCTTTCTTAAAGAACACTAAATTAATTTATTTAGTATTTAGTGGATGTGGTGGTGCCTTCGTCGACTGCCC